AAGCACTACTCCCCCCCCCCCCCCCCTGTTGTAGTATCCAAGATATATAAAAAGTCAAGAGGCTGACTTAGCCTACCAGGCTTCACCAATAAGCTAAATATCACCTTTGGGTGGGCTGACCCTTCTCATAAAAGAATTTCTACATTTGCACTGGCATTAAGCAAAGTTTGATTGCTTGCTGAAACTTTACAGGTGTCCAGGACCATGGTAGTGAGATTCCCCATTAATATCCCCTCCTCTCCTGTATGGCCATGACAGGATTGGTATGGAGAAAACTCTCATATGAATGGTCCACTTTATAAAGGAAAAGTTGCTGATGCTTTTCTGGCTTTTTGGTAAATTGGTAATAGTTGGAACGGTGCCTCCCTTCTTCAGTGCTATTAATGGTAAAGCAAGCAAGGAAACTTATTGTGTGATTATATATACATATACACAGTAATAACAGGTAGTTGAGAAAAATTTTGCTTCTGTTTACAAACTCCAAATTGGGTGACGAACACGACTTATATATAAAATCACAAAATACGTTTCTTTTCTTGCTTTACCATGTATAGCACTGAAGGAGGGGGGCACCTTTCCCACCCCTTTTTTTTTACCATGAATTAAGCGGACCTTTGAGATTAGACATTCTTCTGTTTCTGTGCTCTTCATTCAGTGCTATTCTTGGATTGGTCACACTCATGGTTCAATTACTTTCTTTTGGTATCTTTGGAAAAATAAGCCTTTATCTAACACAATTCCACTTGCTTTTCAGAGTTTTGGACCAGTGGTTTCCACAATGTAAATGTGAAGGAGCCCTAAGAATGATTACATATTTTTGAGCATAAGGTCAGGTCTACGCCCTAAAAAACTGTTTTATAGTTAAGGCAATTGGAGCAGAGAGACTTCTGTCTTTCCTCCACAACCCTTTGAAGGATCAGGCTGCCCAAAACTGAGATTTCAACTATTGACACCGACTAGTTATTTTTATATCTCTGTATAAAATTCTGGTTCTGCCTTATAACGCCATGGCTTGGAGTCTTAATAATCCTGCTTCAGCAGGAAGCATGTCAGTGCTGTCACCACCACCACCACAATCTATAGTGGAAGCCAAGTTTAAAAAAAAATACACTGCATAGTGTGTTGGTAGAAAGTAGGTGGAGCTGGGAACTCTGGTTAAGAGATTTCTCTATGTGAAAAGAAGCACAGAAATAAATATCGCATGTGGGTAGATTATTCATTATATTTTTCTCATTAAATAACTAGCCCAAATTTCACCCTTCAGCAGATTTGTACCTGGAATGTAGACTGAATGAAGTTATGCAGGCTGCATTGGAAAAAGTATTATTCAGTAACTCACCCTAGAGTGCAGGCTCATTGTCTCATTACTCCCTTCTGTCTGTGTTACCCTTTGTTAGATGAGGCATGCTGTACGTCTAATGACTCCCTTTTGTCTGTCACCTTGCAGTAGGAAGTGCAGACCTTGTCTGGCTTATTCAGTATGGTAAAGAGCAAAGCACTTTCTAGTGGCATGACTCCACTGACCTCAAATATGGTTGCAGTGGTTTAATGTACTCGGTTTGCCCCATAAAGTTTATTCCATAACGCAAAGAACCAAAACAGAATTCATCTTGTACTGATCTGACCTCATTTAGCTAAAACCTTAAAGGTTACTAATGTGTACTCCTGCCCATCATAAATGCTCACTGCATCTTCACTGCAACACATTTGGTCTTATTCAATGAAGTGTTATTTTAAAGTGGAGTTTCCCATGATAACTAGTCAGAATCCATCTTTTACCCTTCTTGCTTCAGCAGAAGGAATTTTGATTCTTTGTTGGTTGCTGAACTTAAGAATAAATTTTTTTTAAATGAATAAGGCTGACTGTTTAACCGTGTAATAAGATGAACAGACCCCATATCCCATCAGAGTCTTCTATATGTGTCATCTTAGAGTGGGGGGGCCAGACTTCATATTTCATCATAGCCTTCTGTTTGTGGCCACTGCAGTGGAAGGCACAGACTCAATGTCTCATAGCTACATTCCATCAAAGTCATCCTGCAGTACGAGGGTCAGACTCCATCTCTCATTGCTCCCTTATGTGTCACTCTGCAGTGGGAGCATCACACGTCATGCCTTGGAGCTGCCGTCCATTTGTTTTACCTTGCAATGGAAGGGACAGGCTCCATATCTTATAGTTCCCTTCTGCCTGTGTCACCCTGCAGTGAGAGGGACAGTCCCCATGCCCCATAGCACCCCTCCATAGCTTTGTCACCTTGCAGTTGATGGGGCAAGCTCCATTACTCATAGCTCGCCTCCATCTTTGTCACTTTTCAGTGGATGGGACAGGCTCCATTTCGAATAGCTCCCTTTCCTCTGTGTCAACCTGCACTGGGAGAGCAGACTACTTGTCTCATAGATCCATTTTGTCAGTCTCATTTGTAAAAGAAGGGTCAGATTATAAAATATTAATTTAAAAGATGGAGTGCTTGATACCCTGAAGGATCTGTGTGTATAAATGGTATTATTGAACTAATATATTTTCAGCTTCCACTGCCCTTCGATACAGTTCATCAGTATTAACAGACTGGTGTGCTGATTGTCGGTCAATTTTCACAACCTGGGATTCCCAAGCCAATCAGGATAAAGCCATTTGCCAGCCCCTGACTTTACTTTTACAGTTTTAGGGGTAGAGGCTACTGCATGTCACTGCCCAGTCGGGAAGGGGGCCCGATTATTTGTAGAGTTAGACAGCACAACAGTCAGCCATTCTATACCTCCTAATAATGCCCAGCTAGGTGAGTCACATTAGCCAATGAGGTGGATCACCGTAAGCTTTTGTCCATGGTGCAAGAGTAACTTTTATCCTGGGAAATCACATTAATAAAGAAGGTGCTTTGTTATCAATCTAGTAGGTTAAACTAAGATTTTAAAAAACTCTGCCTGGCCTGTGAAACTGGACTTCTTAGAAATTGTTGAGTGATTATTAAACACTTCATTATCCAGCCAAATATGTTGTCCACTGTAAGAATACAATAGGAATGTCTGCCATTTTGTAGCTATGTATCCATAACTTCATCAGCCAAGGTGCATGTCTTCCAGGTCCAGTTCAATCATTTCATTCAGCGAATGTTCAACAATGAGTTTTGAAAAGGCCACTTTTTTTTTTTAGGCTTCTAAATAAATTCTGAAATGTCCTTTGAGAAATAGGACTCTTCTGATTGGTCTCAGACTGGACTGCAAATTGTCATGATCAGCAAATCTGAGCCCAGATAAGGCTGGTACAGCGCTAAGGACAAATATAAAAGCATTTATGGCAAGCCTTCATGACTGGCCCTTAAAGCATCTTTATCCATTCTCCGTTCAGACTTTGCTACGGACATCTCACGGTGATTATCTTCAGAGGTACAAAGTGATGTGGTCTGTCGACCAGTTGGGACATTAGCTACCTGATTTAGCAAGACTATATGTGTGCATTACTGGGCAGACTATAATAAGCACACTACGAGGACCAGGCCCCACTCTGCTACAGGTTGGCGGGTTGAAA